ATTTCAAGTGACTGTGACATTTGCTTGTATATGGATTATAGCCTTGCCTTTCTCTTGAAATTCATTCCATATAAGCACAAGTAATAATTTGAGTAAAAGTATGTATATCTTCCTTGTCTGGGGGTATGTGCCACATATGATCAAAGTCCAACAGGGGGGCCTACGTGGCTCAGTCAGTTAAGCATCTGACTTCAGCTAAGGTCATGATCTCGCAATTCATGAGTTCATGCCCACGTTAGGCTCTGTACTAACATCTCTGTTTCTGTTTCATATTCTGTTTCTCCCTCTCTCTCTCTTCTCCTCCTCTACTTGAACTCTATCTCTTACTCTCTCAAAAATAAACATTTTAAAAAATTTTAGTAAAAAGTCCAATATCTCCCAGACAAGATAAACAGGTACTCCTCTCTGTGAGCCAACTCTTCCCCAAATCCCACTATGAGGGACTGTTTCCTTTACTTCTCTTTATACAACTACTTCTGTTAGTGTTTCACCATGAAAAAAATGTCTCATTCAAATGGGATAAATGGGGAAAATATAATGTGCAAGGCTATAGGCAGTATTAAAGAAAACCAGCAAAGAATGTTAAAGTATCCAGGACTTGAAACTACAGGATGCCATGACCATCCCTAAAATTGATAGGCAATGAGAGGGAACACGACCATAAATCAGTGAAAGAGCTCTAGCAATAGAAGAAGGCCACCAACAAGAGCTAAGAGCTTTGGTGGAGGAATGCAGTAACTGGTGACAAAAAGTTCAGAAGGGAGGAAGCTGAGGGAATACCCTGGTTTCACCCTTTATGTCCTCCACATCTGGGCAATAGCCTCCATTAGCTACACCCAAGCAAAGCCAAAGGGCACAGCCACTGGTTGATACAGCCCATACAGTTCAGTTTTACAGGGCACAGAGCAGAGTTGACAGAATCAAAATTAGATATGGAAAGGCAATTAGAGAATAGCTCTCCAACAGTTGAATATTCTCCCATAAGTGGACATCTGGGTTTTACCAAATGTTTGTTTTTACAAAGTAATAACAAATAGTTACATATGTTTTTATATGTATGTCCAAGTGTTTCCAAAGGATACGTAATGAGAAATGGAGTTTCTAGGAAACATTTTATGCGTAGTTTCATTTTTAATATATACTGTTGTGTTTCTTGACCACATGGAAGTCCTATAACCACAACTATTTAATTGATAAACAGAAAGAACACATTCAGATATTTAGTCCTATGAGAGGTTTATCATTTAGGAAAAAGGATAAATTATATTAACAATCCACAGAGCTTATTGATGCCTTCCTTTCTACTGGGTTGGTGGACTCATGACCCGTAAGGAGTGGAACTACCAGATCAGAGGAGCGTTGGGTGTTATCACTTTAGGGCCTGGATCCTTTATTAACCCAGAAAAATGTATCAACATCTTAGCCAATAAGCCTACATTCTAACTGCTGTATCACTTGGACCTTGTTTCTGCATTTTAAGACTGGAATCTTTGTGTCACAAAGCTGAGGAAATGTCTACATATATCTCACATCATGTGTGGGCTTTCACCCTAGAGAATCTTTTTAATTTGAATTTCCCTAATTAATCATGAAGTTCGGTATTATTCATAATGTTTCTTTATTTTAAACTTTTTAAATATTTTAAAATGTGACCTGCTTCTATGTTTTATATACCAAATACTTAGATCATTTAGGGTTGCACCAGGAGAAAATGCCATATTAAAATGGAGTAAATGAAGAAAATTTAATTTAAAAATGTTTTGTAAATTAGAGGTAATCAGACTGTAGCTTTTTTCCTCGAGCTTGTCTCTGAAAAGATCGGAAGTGGTCACTCTGTCTCAGCTCGTTTATAAAACACTGCCACAAATCAGAATCACGGAACTGATGAAATTAAGATCTTAAGGATCATTGACAGTGGGATCCAGTCTGTCAGAAATAGATTCTATTAAAACCTGATTTGAACCAGTTTACCACCTTGTTGGTTCCCTCATGAGTAAGTTATATAAATAATTGACAGATGTCACTTTAACTTGTTAAACATTGTATTTTAACTGCTCTCAAGGTCCCATCAAGATATCTAAGTGGACTCACTTTCTGGAACCAATAAAGTATTTCCCAGGAAGGCTCCTCATGGGATTTTTAAGCCAGATGTCTCTTTGTGGTTTTCATAATGAATCCCAACCAGCACTAAAACATTACCTTCACTGACACTCTTATCTTTATTTTGTTCTTCTTCTTTGATAGTCTTTTGTTTGTTTATTTTTGGTTCTTGGCCAAATTTGGTTCCAATCCTGGTTTGTGTAGGGCTGATAGATTATTTTTCATTGTTTGCAACAGAGAATGTAAATTTGATTTCATGATATGATCATTTGGTAATCTCTACTGGGATGATGACCTATTCTCTACCAGATGAGAGATAAAAGATAAAATTTGGTTTGTTAGTTGGCTTTTTTTAATCTGTTTGTATTCATTTTTTTCAATCTGTTTGTCTTTTTCTTTTCAAATAGCTTACTGTCAAGTTCCATATAACACCTAGTGCTCATCCCCACAAGTGCCCTCCTCCATACCCATCTCCCCCTTCCCCCCCCCACACCCATCAGTCCTCAGTTTGTTCTCAGCATTCAGGAGTCTCTGATGGTTTGCCTGTCTCCATCTCCCCCACTATTTCTCCCCTTTTTCTCCCCCACGGTCCTCCATTAAGTTCCTCCTAATCCTTCTATACGTGCAAACATAGGGTATTTGTCCTTCTCTGCCTGACTTATTTCGCTCAGCATAACACCTTCAAGATCCATCCATGTTGCTACACATGGCCAGATTTCATTCTTTCTCATGGCCATGTAGTATTCCATTGTATAGATAAACCACATCTTCTTGATGCATTCATCCGTTGATGGACACTTAGGCTCTTTTCATGTTTTGGCTATTGTTGAGAGTGCTGCTATGAACATTGGGGTACATGTGCTCCTATGCATCAGCATTCCTATATCCCTTGGGTAAATTCCTAGCAGTGCTATTGCTGGGTCATAGGGGAGGTCTCTTGTTAATTTTTGAGGAACCTCCACACTGTTTTCCAGAGCAGCTGCACCAGTTTACATTCCCACCAACAGTGTAGGAGGGTGCCCGATTCTCCACATCCTCGCCAGCATCTCGAGTTCTCTGATTTGCTCATTTTACCCACTCTGACTGGCGTGAGGTGGTATCTCAGTGTGGTTTTGATGTGTATTTCCCTGATGAGGAGGGATGCTGAGCATCATTTCATGTGTCTGTTGGCCATCTGATTGTCCTCTTTGAAGAAGCGTCTGTTCGTGTCTTCTGCCCGTTTCATCACTGCATTATTTGTTTTTTGGGTGTGGAGTATGGTGAGTTCCTTATAGATTTTGGGTATTAACCCTTTATCTGATATTTAATTGCAACTATCTTTTCCCATTCTGTTGGTTGCCTATTAGTTTTATGAATTGTTTCCTTTGCCGCATAGAAACTTTTAATCTTGATGGGATCCCAATGGTTTATTTTTGCTCTTGATTCCCTTGCTTTTGGGGATGTGTCAAGTAAGAAGTTGCAGCGGTGGAGGTCGAGGAGGTTGTTTCCTGCTTTCTCCTCTAGGGTGTTGATGGTTTCCTGTCTCACATTCAGGTCCTTTATCCATTTTGAGTTTATTTTTGTGTATGGTGTGAGAAAATGATCTAGTTTCATTCTTCTACATGTTGCTGTCCAGTTCTCCCAACACCATCTGTTAAAGAGGCTGTCTTTTTTCCATTGGATACTCTTTCCTGCTTTGTCAAATATTAGTTGGCTGTATACTTTTGGGTCCACTTCTGAGTTCTCATTTCTATTCCATTGGTCTATGTGTCTGTTTTTGTGCCAATACCATACTGTCTTGATGATGACAGCTTTGTAGTAGAGGCTGAGGTCTGGGATGGTGATACCTCCCGTTTTGGTTTTATTCTTCAGTATTGCTTTGGCTATTGGGGGTCTTTTGTGTTTCCATACAAATTTTAGGATACTTTATTCTAGTTTTGAGAAGTATGTTGGTGTAATTTTGATGGGGATTGCATTGAATATGTAGATTGCTTTGGGTAATAATGACATTTTAACTATATTAATTCTTCCAATCCATGAGCATGGAATGTTTTTCATTTCTTTGTGTCTTCTTCAATTTCCTTCATAAGTTTTCTATAGTTTTCATCATACAGATCTCTTATATCCTTGGTTAGATTTCTTCCTAGGTATTTTATGGTTTTTGTGCAATTGTGAATGGGATCAGTTTCTTGATATCTCTTTCTGTTGCTTCATTATTGGTGTATAAAAATGCAACCGATTTCTGTACGTTGATTTTGTACCCTGCAACGTGGCTGAATTCTTGGATCAGTTCTAGTAGGCTTCTGGTGGAGTCTGTCAGGTTTTCTATGTAGATTATCATGTCGTCTGCGAACAGTGCAAGTTTGACTTCTTCTTTGCCAATTCTGATGCCTTTGATTTCCTTTTGTTGTCTGATGGCTGAGGCTAGGACTTCCAGCACTATGTTAAACAACAGTGATGAGAGTGGACATCCCTGTGGTGTTCCTGATCTCAGGGGGAAAGCTCTCACAGTTTTTCCCCGTTGAGGATGATGTTAGCTGAGGGCTTCTCGTAGTTGGCTTTTATGATGTTTAAGTAAGTTCCTTCTATCCCGACTTTCTCGAGGGTCGTTATTAAGAAAGGATGCTGCATTTTGTCAAATGCTTTTTCTGCATCTATTGACAGGATCATATGGTTTTTATCTTTTCTTTTGTTGATGTGATGTATCACATTGATTGATTTGCAAATATTGAACCAGCCCTGTAACCCAGGAATGAATCCCACTTGATCTTGGTGGATAATTCTTTTTATGTGCTGTTGGATTCGATTTGCAAGGATCTTGTTGAGGATTTTTGCATCCGTGTTCATCAAGGATATTGGCCTGTAGTTCTCCTTTTTTAGCTGGATCTCTGTCTGGCTTGGGAATCAGAGTGATGCTGGCTTCATAAAATGAGTCTGGAAGTTTTCCTTCAATTTCTATCTTTTGGAATAGCTTGAGAAGAATTGGTGTTAATTCTGTTTTAAACGTCTGATAGAATTCCCCCAGGGAAGCCGTCAGGTCCAGGGCTCTTAATTGTTGGGAGATTTTTGATAACTGATTCGATTTCTTCACTAGTTATGGGTCTGTTCACATATCTATCTCTTCCTGTGTAAATTTTGGTAGTGAGTGTGTGTTTAGGAATTTGTCCATATCTTCTAAGTTGTCCAATTTGTTGGCATATAATTTTTCATAGTATTCCCTGATAATTGCTTGTACTTCTGAGGGATTGATTGTAATAAGTCCATTTTCATTAATGATTTTGTCTATTTGGGTGCTCTCTCTTTTCTTTTAGAGACACTTGGCTAGAGGTTTGTCAATTTTGTTTATTTTTTCAAAAAACCTACTCTTGGTTTCACTGATCTGTTCAATTGTTTCTTTGGTCTCTGTGTTGTTTATTTCTGCTCTGATTTTTACTATTTTTCTTCTTTTGGGTTTAGGGCATTGTTGTTGCTCTGCCTCTAGTTCCTTTAGGTGAACTGTTAGATTTTGGACTTGTGCTTTTTCTAATTTCTTGAAATGGGCCTGGAGTGCAATATAGTTTCCTCTTAGGTCTGCCTTTGCCTCATCCCATTGATTTTGTATTTTTGTATTTTCATTTGTTTCCATATATTTTTTAACTTCTTCTTTAATTGCCTGATTGGCCCATTCATTCTTTACTAGGGTGTTCTTTAACCTCCATGTTTTTGGAGATTTTCCAGACTTCTTCCTGTGATTGATTTCAAGTTTCAAAGCATTATGATCTGAGAGTGTGCATGGTAGGATCTCAATTCTTTTATATTTTTTGAGGGCTGCTTTATGTCCCAGTATGTGATCTATGTTGGAGAATGTGCCATGCGCACTTGAGAAGAAATTGAATTCCCTGGCCTCAGGATGTACAGTTCTATATCTGTCAGATCCATCTGGTCCAATGTGTCGTTCAAGTCCATTATTTCTTTAGTGATTTTCTGTCTGGTTGACCTATCCATTGCTGCAAGTGGAGTATTGAAGTCCCCTGCTATTAGCACATTCTTATCTATAAGCTTGTTTCTGTTTGTGATTAATTGTTTTAAATATTTAGGTGTTCCCATATTCGATGCATAGACATTTTTGATTGTTAGTTTTTCCTGATGGATAAACCCTGTAATTATTATGTAATGCCCTTCTTCATCTCTTGTGATTGTCTTTAATTTAAAGTCCAGTTTGTCTAAGTATAGCGACTCCAGCTTTCTTTTGATTTCCAGTAACATGATATATATTTCTCCATCCCCTTACTTATAATCTGAAGGTATCTTCCAGTCTAAAATGCATTTCTTGTAGACAGCAAATAGATGGATTTTGGGTTTTTTTATCCATTCAGCTACCCTATGTCTTTTGATTGGAGCGTTCAGTCCATTTACATTCAGTGTTATTATTGAAATATGTGGGTTTAGAGTCATTGTGTCCTTTGTGGGATTCATGCTTGTGGTAGTGTCTCTGGTGTCTTCGTCCCTTGCAACACTTCCCTCAGAGAGTCCCCCTCAGGATTTCTTGTAGGGCTGGCTTAGTGGTGACAAATTCTTTCAATTTCTGTTTATTTGGAAAGGTTTTTATCTCTCCTTCTATTTTGAATGACAGGCTTGCTGGATAGAGGATTCTTGGTTGCATATTTTTTTCTGTTCACCACATTGAAGATCTCTGCCATTCCTTTCTGGCCTGCCAAGTTTCAATAGATAGGTCTGTCACCACTCTGATAGGTTTCCCTTTGTATGTTAGGGCCCTTTTCTTCCTAGCTGCTTTCAAAATTCTCTTTGTCCTTGTATTTTGCCATTTTTACTATGATATGCCATGCAGAAGATCGATTCAAGTTACGTCTGAGAGGAGTTCTCTCTGCCTCTTGTATTTCAACGTTTACTTCCTTCCCCAGGTTGGGGAAGTTCTCTGCTATAATTTGTTCTAGGACTCCTTCAGCACCTTTCCCTCTCTCTTCCTCTTCTGGGATTCCTATGATAAGGATATTGTTGCATCTGACTGTATCGCTGAGCTCTCCAACTCTTCTTTCATGTTCCTGGATCAGTTTGTCTCTTTTTTTGTCAGCTTCTTGTTTTTCTATGATGGTGTCTTCTAAATCACTTACTCTCTTTTCTGCCTCTTCAATCCATGCATTGGACGCCTCCAGTTTATTATGTATCTCATTTAGTGCATTTTTTATTTCATCATGTCTATTTTTATGCTCCATATTGTTTGTAGCCATAGTTTCTTTGATGTCCTCTATGCTTTTTTCAAACCCAGAGATTACTTTTATGATTATTGTTCTAAAATCTTGTTCAGTTATGCTGCTTATATCTTATTTGAGCAGTTCATTAGCTGTCAGTTCTTCTTGGAATTTCTTTGGAGGAGAGCCCTTTCGGTTCGTCATTTTGGTTAGCTTTCTAGCTCTTGTTAGTTTTATAGACTTGTTATACTCTCTGCATCTGTGAGTGCTACTGTACCCAAGAAGACTCTTTGACTGTCCAGGGCCTATCCTTTCAGAAAGTGTTCTTTGAATGATATCTCTTGGTCTCTCTTGTTGAGGTCTCAGTTATTTTACTTTCCTACTCGTTTTGGTATTTGGGACTCTCCACCATGTGTACTTTGTCTTGTTTCTTGAGGTGGCCCTGGAGAAGAAAACAGACAGACAAACACACAGGGAACAGAAGCACACAAATGCACAGGCAAATCCAACAAACGCACAAACTGAGAGGGAAAACTAAAAAATAAAGAGAAAAGACGGAGGAGGGAAGGTGAATGATAGAAAATAAAAATACATTAAAAAGTCAAAAAGAAGAAAAGAAAAGGAAAAAAGAAGAAAGCCGATAGATAAGAACGGTTTAAAGCACATAGCCAGATTTCCCAGCTACAATTAAATAGCCAGGTGTATGCAGTGCTTGTTGAAGAGCATAGGGAAAGAGAGAGATGACAGGGTGGGGATGAGGCAAAATTGGAAATAGAATGAACAGGCAGAAGGGATAAGAAGCTTTTTCAAAGAGCTAAAGGGTGGAATATGGTTGGAGAGGTGAGAGAAAGATGCCGGTGTTATCCAGAGAAACTATATAGTCTGATTACTCCTGAGAGAAAGGGATGAAAAGGTAGGTAGGTGTAGAATTTACATCTACAGAATGGACTAAATGTGACTGTTTAAGCAAGCCAGTGACCACAATTAATCAGGTCAGTGTTCCGATTAAAAAAAATTTTTTTTAAGTAAAAAAAAAAAGGAGGAGGGCAGCTCTGTAGCAGTGATGGGCATGGTTTGATCCAATGCTCCCGGCAGGAGTTCTGCCTTGGCAGTTGTGGGGAGAAGAGTGGCTGTGCTGAAGTCCCTTCTTGAACCAAGCTCTGCACCTCACATTTTTGGGCGTGTAAACTCCCCGTGCCAGGGGTGCAGCCAAGGTGGGTCGTGCTCTATATCCCAGGCTAGGCCCCGTTTCTAAATCCCAGTCCGTGCTCCCCACTGAAATTTCCATAGACACAGACTTGCAGGTGATCCCCTCAGGGCAATTCCAAGCCTCTCGCCTAGCCCTGGGGATTGAGCCAAAAGCTGCTGCTCCTGTCTCCTCCCAGTCGGGTTGGCCAGCAAGGACAGGGGTCACCCTCAGGTAGGCTGAAGAGCGGGAAACCGGGCCCTTCTGTGTCTCATCACCTGAAACACAAACTCACGGGCAAATCTCCCAGTTTTAAGCCCTTTGCCTCCCCTCTATGGGTCCAGCCGAGCCAGAATCACAATGTCGCAGGTGTGAGGCGCCTCCAGGTCAAGTTGTCGTGCAGGGATTTGGCAAGCACGCAGATATTTTCCCGGGGATTGTTTGGGATAAGTACATCCCATGGAGAGCCGGGGACCAGGTTCCTCTGTGTCCCGAGCGGAGGTTTTTCTGTTCCTCAGCGACAGGGACAGTGTCTTGAGCAGTTTCGGCCTCACTCTTTCCCCTCTCACTCCCCACAGAGGGGGATCTGCCCTGTCCCTCTGTGTCTCTGATCCCAACCTGATTTTATCTTCCCTAGTTCGCACTCACGTTAGAAGGCTTTATCAGTGGACTCTGCCTCTTTCTCCCAATCTCCTGGATTCTGTATGGTTTCATATGGCTTCACATCTTTTCCATGCGAGATATGGGGGCAAGTGCAATGTACGGAGCTCCCTACTTCTCTGCCATCTTGCCCCTCCCTCAATCTGTCTTGTTTCCATTGGATGAAGAATTTGTCTCATTTCCATTGAAAATAGAATAAAAGTTCCATTATATATCTAGTATGAGATTTTATGTATCAGTCTAGGCTTTTAATTTTTTGGTAAACCTGACCCTTGATCAGTAGCTGAAATTCTAAAACTGACCCACAAGTTTTATGTGTGACTGTGTTTCTGTAATTGAAGAGCCTTTTCCTCTCATTTTGTGAATAATAAATTTGATATATTTTTCTACTTCAAGGATATATTAATAAATCAGATACAAATCCTCCTAAAGGAATTCTGTTAGTATTGCTTTGTAGAGATTAATAAGTGCTGTCTTAAATCTACTATTCCCCATATTCCAAAAAGACAAAGACAGCTGAATTTCTACTGTTTCATATATGCCATGCTTTTCAGAGAAAAATTCTCATAGAAATTATAGCTCCAAACACTTTTTTATGTTTCAAACCATTTTTATATGAGAATCCAAATACAAATAATAAAAATAATTTTTTGAACACAGACTGATTTCATAATATGCTTTGTAAATAGCTGTGGTCTTGGGGCACATGGGTGGCTCAGTTGGTTAGCCATCTGACTTCAGCTTAGGTCATGATCTCATGGTTTGTGGGTTCAAGCTCCACATCAGGCTCCATGCTGACAGCTCAGAGCCTGGAGCCTGATTCAAATTCTGTGTCTCCTCTCTCTGCCCCTTCCCCACTTGTGCTCTTCCTCTCTCTGTCTCTCAAAAATAAGTAAATGCAAGGAAAATAAATTTTTTTAAATAGCTATGGTTGTTTGTGATTTTATCAGAATGGAACATAAAGATCCACTTAAAATTATGGAAAATAAAGTGTTCTGTCATTTGGAAATATAATTCAATTTTATAGTGAGTCTACTGAAATATAATTTCTAAGATTCATAGTTGTTTTAAGATTTTGGTTTCGCATTAGTAATTAGTGGATATTCATTGGATAATTTTTAAATGAGATTGAGTATTAAAACATTGGTCATGGTGTATGTGTCGTGTGCGTGTGTGTGTGTGTGTGTGTGACTTTACTTATACCTTTATAAGGGTATATCTTTGGATCATGTTGGTGAATGTGTTATTTTTACCATACTAAGAATGTTTATTACCTTTAAGAATGTGTAATTGGATGTTTGAGACAACAGGAGATTAGATTTTGAGCATTACTGAGCCTTATTAGTTTACTAACATAATAATGTATGACAGACAATTTTCAATTGCCCACAAGTTAACAGACTTATCTCACTGGTCAAATTTTAGTCAAGCTCCTCTGAGCACTCTTCTCTACTAGGCTTCAACCTGGAGCCCATCCTTGTTGGGCTTGCACACGCCATTTATAACTAGAATCCTGTTAAGTCAGTTTAGAGAAAACCCCTCACTTTTGATAGCTAGTCAAATTCCTAAACCCCTACTCTGAAGAACTGATCACTCTGGCTTGCCTTTAGCAAGCTTTTTAGGTCCTTTAGCAAGAATTCTCCGTATGCTTAATCTCTCCTCTTAGTAATTTCTATCCAGCAACCACCACCCGGTACCCCCCCCCCCGCCCCCATCTGCTCTTTAGCTATAAATTCCCACTTGTTCTAATTGTATTGGAAGGAAAGCCTGGTTCTCTACCCCTATTGTAGTAGGGGCTGATTAAAACCAGTTTTTCCCTCTTAAACTACTATCGGGATCTGGGTTTGTTTTTTTGTTGTTGTTGTTTCGTCTTTTTAACAGACTATTGTCTGTGAAACAAATTACTTAGGTTAAAGTCATAAACTAGATGATTAAGACTGTATGAGAGGGGTGCCTGTGTGGCTCAGTCGGTTGAGTGTCCGATTTTGGCTCTGGTCATGATCTCAAGTTCATGGGTTTGATCCCCACGTCAGGCTCTGTGCTGACAGCTCAGAACCTGGATCTTGCTCTGAATTCTGTGTCTCATTCTCTCTGCCCCTTCCCCACTTGTGCTCTGTCTCTCTCTGTTTCTCAAAAATAAATATAAAAAAAAATTTTAAAGACTGTATGAGAAGTGTGTGGTGTCTGGATGGCTCAGTTGGTTCAGTATCTGACTCTTGATTTTGGCTCAGGTCATGATCTCATAGTTCATAAGACTGAGCCCCACATCAGGCTCTGCAATGACAGCACAAGGTCTGCTTGCAGTTCTCTCTCTCTCTCTCTCTCTCTCTCTCTCTCCCTCTCCCTCTCCCTCTCCCTCTCCCTCCCTCTCTCTCTGCCCTTAATGTGCTTGCATACTCTCTCTCTCTCTCAGATAAACATTTTTTTTAAAAGACTGTATGAGAAGTAATTATAGTAAAAAAAAATGCGGTTGACATTGCAAGGTAATAGGATCTGGTTTTATTTATTCGGGGAGGAGGGGGAATGGATAAATTTATTCTAGGATAAAATATCTTGTTATTCCAGAATCTGAAAGAGGAAGACACAACCCATTGTAGATAAAATACTGTAGGAAGTAAATTCTATTTGCTTTGGTTTCATATTTTTTTAAAACAATGAGACTGAAACAATGATATAGGTTAATATTCTGGCAGTTTGCAAGCTCAACTTTAATTGGTTTGTTTTTTTAAAACAGGAATGCTTTATGACCAAGTACTATATTGAAGCAAGACTAGATTTGGTTTTCTCTCTGTTACAATGACTTGACAAATTTCTCTTGGTATATTCATTTTACTCTTGACTAAAGGCAATAATGTTATTTACCTTCTGTGTAATCCTCCAAGTTAGCAGAGATCCTTTAACTCCTAATAATAATTTTTTGGGGTCTTGTTTTTTAATTTTTCTCAAGTTTTTGTTTAAATTCTAGTTAGTTAACATGTATGGTAAAATTGGTTTTAGGAGTCAAACTTAGTGATTCATCACTTACTTATAACACTTGCTCGTCATGACAAGTGCCCTCCTTGAAACCTATCACCCACTTAGCCCATTCCCCACCCACTTTCCTCCATCAACCCTCAGTTTGTTCTCTAAAGTTAAGAGTCTCTTATGGTTTCCTTCCTTTCTCTTTTTTTGTCCTTTCACATATATTCATGTGTTTTGTTTCTTAAATTCCACAAGTGAGTGAAATCATATGGTATTTATCTTTCTCTGATTATTATAGCTTATTCTGACTTTATATACTCCTTTATTTTTAAAAATATAGTTAGTTGCCAATGAAAGAGCTTAATTCTTTCTGTTTATTTTAAATATATTTTCATTCTTATTAGTAAGTAGCTATGCTACAATCATTCTTGTTCTCACAAACTATATTACCTATTCCGCTGTTATGGGTTGTTTTCTGTCCACCAAATATGTAGATTGAAATCCTAACCTCTGATACCTGTGAATGTGACTGTGTTTGGAAATAGTCCCTGCAGACATAGTCAAGATGAAGTTATACTAAATGAAGGTGGATTGGGAAATAATTCCCCAGTTCTGAGGCTGTAAAGAAATATGTCTTCTTATATTTCTAAAAATTACTTCATATAAATGTTATTCCTCAGGAATTCAGTAATTGAGATTACGATAATAGTTGGTTTAAAAATATTTGCTGTGTTACTCTCTCTTTTCAAAAATGAATGCTCCCTCCTGAGTAAAAGATAAAAACGGACTCAGTATCAGTGAGTCTAATCAAATTAAGGTAAGACAAACAACAGCTTCTCCCTGAGTTTGACCATCAGTAATGAACATCAGTAATCAAGGGCTCCTCATAATGCAGGCATCATTTAAGAGATCTTCCTGTAGTTCACTAGCTGTCTACATACTCTCCTTATTGCCACCTTCATTTCTTGATTCTTGAATGTATAGATGACCGGATTTAGGAAAGGAGTGAGAACAGCATCAAAGATGGCCAGAAATTTATCCAGGTGTACGGAGGGAGACGGCCACATATAAAAAAAAATCAAAGGGCCAAAGAACAAGAAAACCACAGTGATGTGAGCTGACAGTGTGGACAGAGCCTTGGATGAACCAGCTGAAGAGTGTTTCTGAACAGTGAGGATGATGATGATATAGGATATGATGAGTATAAAGAAGGAGCCAACAGAGATGAATCCACTATTGGCTGTGACCATAAACTCTAGTCGGTAGGTGTCTGTGCAGGCAAGTTTGATGAACCGAGGAAGGTCACAGTAAAAGCTGTCCAGCACATTAGGACCACAGAAGGGTAAGTTTACCACAAAAGCCAGTTGAACCATGGAGTGGATAAGGCCAGTCATCCAGGCAGCCACTAGAAAGAAGAGGCACATTCTGGGGCTCATAATGGTCAGATAGTGGAGAGGCTTACATATGGCAACATATCTGTCAAAGGCCATGGCGATGAGCAGCACCATCTCCACACCACCAATGACGTGGATAAAGAAGATTTGAGCGATGCAGCCACCAAAGGAGATGACTTTACGCTTTCTGAAAAGGTCATAAATCATCTTGGGCGAACTGACGGAAGAAACTCCCAGGTCAATGAAGGAGAGGTTGGCCAACAGAAAGTACATGGGCGAGTGTAAGTGAGGGTCAGAAGTCACGGTGAGCATAATGAGGGAGTTGCCCATCATGCTTGCCACATAAAAGGTGGAGGAGAACACAAAGAGGAGAAGTTGGATCTCCCAGGAATCGCTGAGTCCCAGGAACACAAACTCTGACACTACAGAGTGATTCGCTCCATCCATTGGCATTGTCGGCACTGCTACCTGAAGAAGGACAATAGGAGAAAATGAAAATTATGATAACTATGTTAATAAATTAGGAGAGATGGCCAAAATTATGAAAGCCTGTTTCTATTTTAGCATTAGAACTGACCTAATATGCTCATGGTCTCTCAAATGTGATTACCCAGAAAAATTGGTGGCTGTCATGTGGAGCTGCTCTCTACCACCAAGTTGGCTGCATTTGATAACTCTGCTTCCTCCCAGGGTTGATGCTGCAATTAGCCATGAGATATAAGATAGTCAACATGAGCCAAAGCTTTTGATTTTTGGTTCCAAACATATGATCTGGCTCCAGTCACATAAAACTAATCACTATTACAATCCTTCCAAGTCTATAAAACTTTATCTGACACACAGACCCTTCTCTTCCACCCCAGTCCCCACCTCTAGGAACATATTCATATTTAATATTGCTTAAAAGTCCTGCTTTATTATTAATAGTACTTATTTTACTATCCTTGTTTATAGTGAACTGAGAATAGTCCTAACTCACCCATTCAACTAAGAGCTTCTGGAAGGAAGAAATTATGACTTATTCATAGTTGGACTTCCTGAAGCAGTGGAAAATGTTCTCCACAGAATGGGACAGGTCTATGAACCATATGTTATCAGTTAAATCATGTTAGTTACAAAATTTTTGAGTGTTTAGAAATTTCTTTAGATTTTTGATATTATAGTGATACCCAAGTTTCTGATTATGTATTTTATAAAAGTATTAGTCTATTAAAGAAGAAAGCTGAGGGGTGCCTGGCTGGCACATTCAGATGAGCATGTTATTCTGGATCTCAGGGTCATAGGTCAAGCCCCACATTGGGTGTGGAGATTACTTAAGTAAATATTTTTCTTAAAAAAGAAAAAAAAACAGATAAAAGCTTAGACTTCAACACAAGTAATTCAAGCAACACTGCCTTAGTGTACTTTATACTTCATGTGAAAAGCTTAAAATTATGAAATGTATCATAATGTGGAAATAATTTTATGAAATCTCTAAAACACTAATCACATTATATTGTAATTATTTACTTTTATTTAGGGAAACAGCATGGCTTAGTAGAAAAAAATATGGGTTTTGGATTTTGATTTCCAAAATTCATATAAATATTCAACCACTGGGGGCACCTGGGTGTTCAGTCAGTTTAGAGTATAACTCTTGATTTCAACTCAAGCCATTTTCCCAGGGTAATGGGATCAAGCCCTGCAACAGACTCCTCCCTCTCTCCCTCTCCCTCTTCCTCTCTCAAAATTCTCTTTCTCTCCCTCTGCCCCTCTCTGCTCACACTTTCTCTCAAAAAAAAAAAAATTGTTTAATGACTAATAGGTTGATTTTGGGAAAGTTACTTAAAGTCTTTGAGCCTCAGTTTATTTATGAAACTGCAATTACTAAAATAATTAATCTATCTTAATCATATGGCTATGTTAAGTATTCAGTAATGCTGTTTACTTCTCTTTACGTCACTTACCCATAAAAGCACTCAACACATGACACATAATGAATGAATAAGAAAATAAAATACTGTTGACCAAAGACGGAGCATCAAACCTCCATATCATAAAATAGATTTCAATAATCAATTATTAATATAGTAGTCACATTCTCTTAGTGGCAAAAATTAAACTATCTTATACAAATGCAGTTGATTTGCTCTCAAATAACACTGTGTTTCTTAATAGTACTTACCACAAAAGTAAGTTATTATTTCTTTAATTTATCCTTCCAAACTAGGCTACAAACCCCATGAACTTATGGACCACATCTGTCTTGTTCAACTCAATGTATGAAAAATTCAGAATCACACCAGATACATAACAAGGACAAATAAAGATTTGTTTAAAGGGTGAATAAAATGTATTTGCTTGGATTAGAGACTGACTATGAAAGAAAAGAAAGAAATCTAGGAAAGCAAACATTTTGTCTGAAGAAAAAAGCCAAAGTAGGAATAGAACTAAAAGGAAGTGTCCAGTGAAGTTAAAGAGATTAAAATCAGTGAGGTCAGCTTTGAGACATCCTGATAAACTGAATATTTCCAATTTAGGAAAATATCTAGTCATTATAGATCAGAAAATAAATACCCCAGTCTGTTAAATTAATTGACCAAAACCATAAATTTACGTAGTGTTAGAGCTTGTATTAGAACCTAGGTTTACTGACTCCAAGATCAGTCCTTTTTCCAAGTCCCTGCTTTCTTTCGTTTATCTGTGACTTACTGAGGATACAGCCTGAACAAAAACATGTGGCAGGGTGATGGTAGAAATTGCTGGAGGAAAGATGAGCCTTTCATGCTGATGACTTCCCTTTTTTGTCATGCTGCTAACTGATGTCTTGGTCTCCATAATTAATCATCCCTGACAACTGTCTGTCAACAAATTAATGTACCTCCGTGTCTTGGAAAACTTAGCTGCTTTCTAAAGCATTTGTTTTTACTCTAATTGTTCAGGCAAATACTCTTATTTAGAACAGAATATGGTTTTTGGATGAACTCAGGACATAAAATGCTATTTAACCTGTTTGACTCAATCTTTCCTTCCCTGGAAGGACTGAGACCCTTGAACAGGGTCCATCATGAGTGAACTACTTAGAAGCTGCCATAATGTTGTCTGTATTCAAGTTCTACCTCCTTCATGAATCACTCTTGACTCATCCAACCTGAGTAGCTTTTTGTTTGTAAGATGTCATTTTAACTCCACAAATGAATCATAGCACTACTCTACCTATATTTCTTCATAAACCCACAGTACCTAGAATAATGCTGGAGGACATAATAGATCTTCAGTAAAAACTTGACTATCTTTTCTGAGTCCAAGTGTATTGAAGTTGATCCCCAATCTTAATATAGATGCAAGGACTCCAGACTTTGTTTGGGACTTCATATTAAATATAGGCTCTGGGTTTTTTGTTTGTTTTAATGTTTAATTCTGAGAAAGACTGTGTACACACAGGTGGGGGAGGGACAGAGAGAGAGAGAAAAGAGAGAGAGAAGAGAGAATCCCAAGCAGGCTCTACATTCAATGTGGGGCTCAGTCTCACCAACTATGAGATTATGACTTGAGCCAAAATCAAGAGTCGGATCCTTAATTCACTCAGCCACCCAGGCACCTCGAATATAAGCTCCATTCATGATTGAATCATTCTTTGAATTCATCTCTGTTTTAGCTCTTAAATTTTATAGGGATTATTTCTATTATTTTTTAAAGAAGCTGCATGGGCTAATGAAATAGGCCTCAATATCTGAAAACCCATATTTCACATTCTATCGCCTAATAATTTGGTTACCTTGAGTAACACACATTTCATCTCTGAGCCCTTTCCCATCTGCAAAATGCATAAAGTTAATATCTTATAGAACTGAGTATATGAGAAAATATATGTCACCAAATCTAGTTAATTCTTTCTCTTTAATGCCTGTAGTAATTGAAATAATATATATGTCCATAGTGAGGACATACATAAGTAAGGTTTTGTAAATTAAAACAATCAAATGAATTATTTGGAAAGTAAGTGAATTAATCAGACATATACTTGTTACAATGGAAAAATATCAAAAATATAACATTGAATCAAAACATCAAATTATAAAATGATACATATAAAGTGAAATAATTTTCTAAATTCTGAAAACACTCAATATTTATAACATTATTAAATGTAGATAAACATATAGGTATTAGAAGTATAAAAGTTTGAATAAGAACGATATCGACCCAACAACTTCAGAGTACTGTTTTTCTCTGGTGAGGGAAAGGGAGAAATCTGACGTGAGTGATTCCAGTTGTTTTTGTAATGATTTACTACCCAAAAAAGTCTGATAAAATAACAGATATTTGTGGTTAAATCTTGAATTGAATCTTAAATTCCAATCATACAGTTTTGAGTACTTTTCAAAGGGTTGAAGTATGTTTTACAATTTCATTTTTAATTTAATACATCTGCCATGTATTTGTTTCTTTCTCTTCTCACTGCCCCTCTTATCAACAGATAGCACTAATCTACCACAGTGCGTCATCAAGATCCTCTTCTTCAAGTGTTTCTGCTGCTCCAAGAAAAACCCATCTGCTCTCAAAACAAACCTAGTTATAGTATTAATAGTTTCATGAGTCCTCTTTTGCCTCCAGATGAACCACCATCTTCTAATAAAGCATCCAGACTTGTCTGGAGTCTGAGCCTTTCCAACCTCATTTTCTATCTCATTTCCTTACATCCATTACTGTGCCCCATGATCCAGATATATCTATTTATTATTTGACAATGCCACATAATACATATGCCCCCATGCCTTCAAATATACCCGTTCTTCTTCTTCAACTTCCCTTCCACCAATTCCACTCACTGCTCTTCTTTCTGGAAGGATACAATTCATACCTCAAGTAAATCATGCTCTAATGTTTATTTACTCTCCTTTCCCCATCATCTCTTCACACTGTAAGCAGATATATACCTTTCTTGTCCATGTTCCCACTCACAGCATTTTATTCAGGCCCCTAAGCATTGCTCACCATCTTACATTACAGTTAGTTTCATATGTAAATGGATTGAGGGGAGGAATTGTGTTTATCCTTTTTGTAATCTCAACCACTAACACGTTAGACTAAAAAAGGATGGAGAGAAACACTGAAGATATTGCCTCTGTCAAAATTGGCTAATGGTTCCAATGGTGTGAAAACATGACCTAGATATAATATAAGTAGCCTTCAACATGGGAAAATCAGATTGCAGTTGAAATAGTAATAGGTTAAAAAGAAAAGAAAAGAAAAAAATAGTAGAGAAATAATATTAGGCATAGCAGCTTTATATTTATAATATCACAATTCAGCAAACATAGGATACAATTGGATGATTTTTAAAAACATGAAAATATGCCTGATTATATAACTGATGAAAATATGCCTAGTGAAGAGACTGGGAAGAGTTCTGAAGAGACAGAAGAAAATAGAAAATAGATTGTAAAGGTGAAAAAGAATTAGGGGAAAAG